TAGTGCACAAGACAGCACCCACAACAAAGTATTACCCAGCCCCAAAAGCCGATAATGCCTAGATGAGGAATCTTGATGTAGCTGCACGGCTGTTCTTGAATGGAGGATAGGATGGTCCTCTGAGGCTGGAGGAAGAATGAAGGCAGACATTTGGACCTGGAGAATGGATTCGGGAGATGGATACCTTGAATGGAGTATCCTCAGAGGAGTTGCCCTGTGAGCTGTGACTTGCATGAGGCAGGGCGGGCAGGGCGTCTCCTGGCAGAAGGAGCAGCTGTGCACTGTCTGTAGGAGTTAGACCCTGGTGCATTCCAAGGGCATGCAGCAGAGCAGGTGGAAATGAAACGAGATAGATAGGTACATGCTTGTGAAGGGCTATAGTGCCTCAAGCCAGAGTTTGGACGTCATTATAGAATTTAGTAGAAGCTCTCAGATATTTAAAAACTGGTGGGGTTTTTTTCTTGGTTTTGTTTTTTAGAGAAAGGATATTGACTCAGTCTCTATAATGTTTGATGGACATGTTTATGGCAACTCGTCCAAGCTCATTGTACCCCCTCTACTTCCAGGCTCCCTGTCAGGAGATGGAACCTGGAGGTAGAGGGGGTACACCAAGTCCTGTTACTTCTGCCTCCCAAGCCTCTTCAGATGACACTATAGGCACCTCTGCTCTCACCTCTCCCCAGACCATGCAGGAGGCTTTACTCTTTCCACACACATTGAGCATTTATTCCAAAACCAGTATCTACTCTGAAACCGTTCAGGGACTTTTAGGGAAAAAGTCTGACATGTTTAATCCTGGCTACTATAATATTGGCCTTGTTTTGTTGCTTTACTTTAGGTCACTTTTCACCCGGCCCCCTCTTTGTGTCCTCCCTCCATTAGGTCTTTGATGCTGCTGCTTCCCTGCCTTGCAGCTTCACTCCTGCCATTCTGGTTGCTGACCTCTACTTTCTCGCTTGTCTCCTCCCTCACTTCTCCTCTGACCGCAGTGCAAACTCATCATTTGGGTTCATCTTAAAGGACACTTGGTTCTAACTCTGCGATCTGGCAAGTCTCTGCTGTACTCTTTCATGGCACCCACTTGTGACAGTTATAATTATCAAACAATTGTTGGAGATCTGTCTTTAGCCTTAGAAGATAAGCTCCCTGTGGGAAAGGCAGCTGCTCACCCTGCTTAATGCTGCTTCCCTGTGCTGGCCCTTGGGAAAGGCCGCCTAGTGGCACCTCAGCCTGCAGCAAGTGGGGACTGGCTGCAGAGAGCATAGGAGCCTCACATCTGGAGGGGTGGACTCTCCTTGGCCAGATCGAACAACACAGTGAGGTTGGAAAGCAAATTCAGCCAAAAGGTGGTGGCCAGTGGAACCTTTCCTGATGCAATTTATTTCATTCTCTGATTAGTGCATTAGTGGTACCGGTGGAATTGGGGACAAAAACACAGTCATAGGACCTACCCAAGGTACTAAAAAACAGTGGCCGGAATAAAGGGCCTAATGCTGTTTTTCTTAGTGCCCTCGAATCTGGTGTCCATCGGCTCATGTTTGCGTAGCGTTCATACCCCAGCATGTTCGGTACCAGGAATCAGGATGGAAGTAGTTGGTCTTTTTACTCAGTCTTCCTCTCCAGGAAGATGACGTTTTCACAATGAAAGGGTGGGATTTTAGCCTTTCATCTGGGGAGCACCTAGTTCCTTAGTTGTTTTGCTGTTACTTTACTGCTTCCTAAGATATTGGGACAACACCTGAAAATGCATCACTTTGTCCCCTGCTATGGCTCCCTGAAAGGGAAAAGTAGTACTTCTCCTTACCCTCATACCCAAATCAATATAAAACTTTTATTGCATCATTAAAATATCATAAATAAGTCTGAGGAATCATCTGACTTCTTGGTGTTTTTGTAGCTGGACAACTTATACCTTATTCATCAGCCTGCTG